CGTGCTGCTCGATGAATCTTCTAACTCCAGGTGCAACCTCTGCCTCATCCTTGTTTACTGGCCCTTTTATAGGAAAGTCATCCAGAAAAACTTCAACCTCATCAAGGATGAAGTCCTTGAGGACGACTACCATTGCTCTCTGAAAAACGGYTACCCCATTAGTCCAATCCATAGGGACAACCATCATCTGTATTAGTCCCAATGGCGTATGCATAGCCGTGAGGTACCTATCTCTAGGGTCAAGTGGCACCTCATCATAGCCTGAGAACAAATGACAGACCGAATAAATCGACCTACCTGCGGCGCCTTCTGCCAGTAAATCGGCGTGTGACACGGAGCCCACGTCTCGTATCGTCACCTTGTTGACCTTCTGAAGGTCCTGGATCCATCGGATCTTGCCATTCGGCTTTCGTAGGAAGAACCATGGATTAGCATAAGCGCTATCAGACGGCTCCGCAACATGCGAAACCATCTTTTCTTTCAGGAAATCGATAATTTCTTCCTTCTCCTTCTGGGCGTATTTTCATCCTTCGTCATTCCAGGGAACATGTGGTATCGTGTAAATCCTTGCTGGCTTAGCGTATCGAGGGTCAACATTGCCGCGCTCCGCGTCACTAAAAGCTATGGCCTTATCACATGTCCTCAAGATTTCTATGACACGTTCTCGCTCCTGCGGGGTCAAATTCCCATCTCCGATGTCCATCCCTGCTATCCTCTCTTCCGTTAGGCGTTGCGGCTCCTTTCTCTTTCTTTCTTTGATTTCTTTCGCGATCTCTCTTTCCGATATCCCTTCCAGTGCAGATCGCTCGCGGCCCACCGCCGCTGACTTAACTTTTTGAGCTACTCGCTTGTGTCGCTTGGGTTGCCCCCCATAGGGGGCTGTGCCCTTAAAAAAGACACGGAAACCACACCGCCAAATTTCTCATCTTTTTCTTTTGGGTACGAGTTGCCGTCAACTATTAGCCGACTCTCTAAATCTTCCACCTCCACAATCCGACCTTCTTCCTCTGTGAGCAGTGGTCCATATTTCTTCTTGCGAAATCGCACCGCGCGGCCGGAGATAGGTAACGACTAAATCTGATCACAGGGTCCCGCACCCACAGCGAGAGCTGCTCTGTTCCTCGGGTCTCGAGGCTCCACTGTCTCAATCATTACCCGCGTCCCGTCTGGCTTCTTAATGGACAATGTTTGACTCCCATCAGGTCACTCTATCGTCACCGCATGCACGTGGCTCAGCCATGTTCGACCCAAGAGCAGGTCGGAGCTGCAGTTCTTGATTGCAAAGACAGGCAGGGTCACTCGTACCCCTTGGACCTCTATGGATGCCTTGCGACAAACCCCAGTGATCTGTTGCTTTCTCCCATCAGCCGTCTCTATCTCGAATAGGTATGACCTATCAAGGCCCAATCCAACCTGTACTGCCAGGTTCTCGTCTATGATGACAGCCTCACTGCCGTTATCGATCACAACATCGAGTACCGCTCCATCGTTTATAATTGTCTCAACGGCCCCGCTACCAAGTATATAAAACTTGTCTGGAGGCACACCTTCCATTCCATCGAGAAGGACTGTCGCCATGCGATCCGCTCTGGCAGTCACCCCCGTCACTGCTACTGTAGAAGCTTCCGCCTTAGGGGCCCCCTGACCCTCCTCCGATAGAGGTATGCGAGTCTTCCGCGTGATCATCTGTAACTCATCACGAGCCGGCTTCGATRCCGCCAGGTACTCCAGAATAGAGCACTGCATGGGTTGCCGAAGGGCCCGCCTCAGTGGYTCGACCGTGTCAATCTCGTCCAGCGAACTCTTCATTAAGAACTTCTGCACTCCCCGCTTTCGCGGCGAAAGGATAACCTTCTCTCCATCGACCCGCTGCCCGTCCTTCTCCGCCATCACGTAATCCGTGTCAGTTTTCGTCGATGTAGACCCTCTCGCCGACTTGTTGGCTGCCACCCTTAAGGGTGTGGTCGCCATATCCCCCTTAAAGGTTATCTTGATGCTCTGGCTCCTGACCGGCTCCTTTTCTTTATTCGGCTTTACTCTCCTTGCTTCAACATTCTCCTTCATCGAAGCAAACATCGATACATCTCCCAGACCATCTGCCCACTTGACGTACTTGCGGTCATCAAGCACGACAAGTCCCTCATCTATTGCCAGTTTGAGGTCCGGGCAATCCCTCTTGATATGATCTTCTCCTCTACAGTAGACGCATGAGTTCGTGGGAGTAGATGGCCTGTCGTCTGCGCTTCTAGAGATCGAACTCCTGGCTGCCTTGGGGTCAGGCGACTT